AGAGGGAGAAGCAGGCTCCATGCACCGGGAGCCCGACGTGGGATTCGATCCCGGGTCTCCAGGATCGCGCCCTGGGCCAAAGGCAGGCGCCAAACCGCTGCGCCACCCAGGGATCCCTATTAAAGACTTTCAATGACATTTTCACCAGGTTGGGAATGGGACTTTAAGGACCCTCCTCAGCCTTTAATTGTTTACAGATATTAGGGAAGGACTGAGAGATAAAATGGGTCACCAAGACAGTAGCCCCAGCTGGGGAGGTAGGGTCCAGGCGAGTGTACTGGGTTTATGCCTCAGTGAATCTATTAAGGAAAACTGCAGGGTTTTTGTTATGCCCAAGATTGCAAATCCGAGAAACCACCAAGGAGCCAACACCAATGCAAGCACACAAGGGTTTACTAGCAAGCTCGAGCTTGGGTCCAAGTATACCTGTCACAGTGGAGCAGGGACTTGGACCCCAAAGTGGGTTCCAGCTGGATTTTTATAGCCTGGTCTAGGGGATTTCCGGTAAGGGTAGGGGAGTTTCTCAAGCTCTTAGTTCCTCATTCCAATATGGAACTTCCTGTTAAGGGCATGCTCTGCGGTTTTTCTTGGAACTAACTTGGGCTAGAGGCCGCAGTTGTTACTATCTAGGGGCCAGGGGTGGGGGACATTTTCTGAAATTTCTTGGGTCCCACATTCCCCCCTTTTTCAGAGGAACCCAATGCAGGACCCATGATTGGGTCCTGAATGTTCAGTGGTTGGTATTGTTGCCTTAGCACCATGAGTTGAACAGTGTTAACCCGGTCCCTGACAAAAGCCACTAGTCTATTAATGAGGCAGGGTCTAAAGGTCAGAAAGAGGAGGAGGAGGGGGGGGCCAGCTAGGGAGGACAACAAGGTAGTTAGCCAGGGAGAATGATCAAACTAGGATTTGAACCACCCCTGTTGCTGCCCTCGCTCTTGTTTTCGCCTGGCCAGTCCTTCCCTGATCTTTGCCATCGATTCTTGGACTATCCCTGAGTGGTCATTGTAGAAATAGCACTCTTTGTTCAGGGCAGCACATATTCCCCCTTGCTGTAGAAAAATTAGGTCTAACCCCCTCCTGTTTTGGAGCACCACTTCAGATAAAGATGTTAGGGATTCTTGGAGGTGGGAAATGAAGGTCTCTATGTGCTCTATGTCTACATCAATGGCAGCCCTAAGGCTACTGTACTGGGAAGCCTGGGTGGCCAGTGAGGCAATACCTATTCCTGCACCAGCCAAACCAATTCCTAGTAGGGTGGCGATGGTGACAGCAGAGATGGGCTCTCGTTTATTTCGCCCGTGGGTACCCGGGTCCATCCATTAAAGTACCTGCTCATCTGAATGGTAGATGATTCTAGGGAGTAGTTGAACCAGCACACAGAAGCCCCTAGTTCTGTTTATAACCTGTCGGTGAGCGCAGGGAGTTAATCCCTCAGAACAGGCCCACCAACTGTCTTAGGGCGGTAGACGATACCTGGTACTATTTATAGGCTGTGTAATGTTGCACAGAATCTGGTAGTGGTGTGGAGGAGTGCCTAGCAGAGCCCCTGGCCTGACACGGATTGTAAGGTGAGGCCTTTACTACCAGGCTTTTGGTTCCACCTGCAAGCATTAGGGTCCATGGTTGTGTTATATTGACCCATTATTGCAATTCCTTCATAGAAGGGGGGCTGGATGTCATAGCACAGCCAGCAGGATCGGGTAAAATTAGGTTTAGCTGCATTGAGGAATCTGTAAGCTTGGGACATCAGAGCCCAAAGAGGGTGTTGAGAAGGGCTGAGGGGAAGGCGAGTCGGGACTGGGGTGCCCTAACTGGAGGAGTTGTGGGAAAAATTCGAAGGGGGTGTTGTAGATATTGCCTAAGATTGAAGAGGCACTAGCACAGGGTTGGGGCCTATCTCTTGAGTTTGACCTTGCGGCTTCTCAAGTTGTCTGATCATGAATAGGACTCCATTATCATACCCGCTTTGGTAAAGTCGGAGCCCCCCACAGAAGTCCTACTCTCCAATTTGTATCTTGTTTCCCAGCCTCTGTGAAGGAAATGGTGACTGGATTACAGTAAGGGCATCCCGAGCATGTGCGGCGTATAGTATTCAGTTGGATTTTTATGAGGCCGGTTGGGTTTTGTGACAGCCAATGGCATGTCCCAGTTTGTTCGCAACCCCATGTTTTGCAGAAGTAGTCCGTCCAGCCACCACATTTGGAGGCCTTATTATGGTCAGACTGGGAGGGGGCCAGACATATGTAAAAGCAGGTATCTCAGAGGGCCATCTTGGCCCTCTTGGTGCCACATCCTGGTATTCCTATTCTGCCTTGGTGCCAGGGGTCCTGAGTAAATAGTTCACATAAGTCGATAGTCAGATTAGGCCACCAGGTACCTCTAGGGGGTAGCCCCGACAGCTGGGTTACTATCTGATTAGAGTTTGGGATGAGGACTTGCCAGGTTAGATTAAGTGGTTGGTGGGGGTTGGTTTTAGCCGTGAGGGGATACAGCGCAAGTAATATTAGCGGGGTAAGTGGGAGCGACACAGCCTTAGCTTTAGGGAATTGTCCTTGTCAGGCTGACTCTTCCATTCTGGAACAAAGTCCTTGAGGACAGCATGTGGATCAGCTGGCCGGATGTGGGTGTAGTGGATCCAGGGAGTTATTCCGTCGACCTTGAGAGCAGTGGGTGTAGTCAGGATCACAATGTAGGGTCCTTTCCAGCGAGGCTGGAGTGTTGGTATCTCTGCACATACATCTAATCGCCCGGTCAATATCGATGGGGGTCAGGGGGTGGCCCAGTCTCATAGAGGGCCCTCAGCTTAGGCCATACCTGCTCATGGGCTCTTTGTAACATTTGGAGGGAGAAAAGAAGTTGTTGGTCATTGAACTCAGCAAGCACTTTGGGTTTCAGGGTAGGAATGATAGGTGGGGGTATACCAAATATGATTTCGTAGGGAGTCAGTCCCATCTTATATGGTAAGTTCCTCACCCTATGTAGGGCAAAACGGAGGAGAGTCACCCAGTCCCTGCCAGTCTCCAAGACTAATTTAGTTAAAGTCTCTTTTAATGTCCTATTCATCCTTTCTACTTGACCTGAGCTCTGGGGTCTGTAAGCACAATGTAATTTCCAATCTGCCCCCAGTATTTGTGCTATTCCCTGTGTTACCTTGGAAATGAACCCTGGTCCATTGTCGGATCCAATCCTGGAAGGAAATCCATACCTTGGCAGAATGTCCTCCAGCAGCTTTTTGGTCACGATTTGTGCTGTTTCATGTTTGGTGGGGAACGCCTCTGTCCACCCTGAAAAGGTATCTATAAAAACTAGCAATACCTTCCAGGCCTTACCTCAGTGAAATCTACTTCCCAGTATGCTCCTGGGCGGTCTCCCCTGAGTCGGGTTCTGGGGTTAGACCCATGGGCAGTGGCGTTGGTTAGCTGGCATGCATGACACTTGCCACAGTCTGCTCGATCTTTGCTTGAGAGTCTTTTTTTTTTTTAAGATTTTTTATTTATTTATTCATGACAGACACAGAGAGAGAGAGAGGCAGAGAGACAGGCAGAGGGAGAAGCAGGCTCCACGCAGGGAGCCCAACATGGGACTCGATCCCGGGTCTCCAGGATTACACCCCGGGCTGAAGGCAGCACTAAACTGCTGTGCCACCGGGGCTGCTCGAGAGTCTTTAACAGTGATCTTTGCATGTCGTATGAGGTCTTCCATCTTTCTTGTTCCCATATGAGTACTCTGATGCATTTTGGATAGGACTCATCATCCTAGTTCCTCTGGCAGGATGATACTGGAGTCTGCGGCCCTCCACCAGCCACGCAAGCACTGGGTCATAGGCAAGCGTTTGATCCAGTGTAAGTCAGCATCAGTATAGTTGGGGGTGTCTGGCAGGGTCGGTGCCTCCGGATCGGGTAGCATGGTTATTAAGACCTGGGTCACCTAGAGGGCCGCCTCCTTTGCTTTTGAATCGGCTATCCAGTTTCCCCTAGCTACTGGTGTATCTGCTTTTTGGTGTCCCAGACAATGGATGATAGCTAGTGCCTTGGGCAGCCAGAGGGCCCTCAGGAGTTCAAGGATCTCTGTTTTGTTTTTAATAGTCTTTCCTTCTGCTGTCAGAAGCCCTCTCTCTCTGTAAAGGGCTCCATGGATATGAGCAGTGGCAAAGGTGTACCTGCTGTTGGTGTAAATGTTTATTCGTTTACCTTCTCCCATGGATAGCACCTTGGCCAGTGCGATCAGTTCTGCCTGTTGAGCCAATGTTCCGGCTGCCAATGGCTCTGCCCAGATGGTCTCCGTTTCTGTGGTTATGACTGCCCCCGCGTATCTGATTCCTTCTTGGACAAACTGCTGCCATCTACCAGGTGGCGTCTGCATTAGGCAGTGGCTGGTCCTGGAGATCAGCTCTGATTCCGTGTACCTGTGCCAAAATTTCTTGACAGTCATGCAGAAGGGGGTCCCAGTCTGGGTTAGGGAGTAGCATTGCCGGATTCAGCGTTGTTGGTGGCTTGAATAAGATTCTGGTGGGGTTTAGCAGTAGGCTCTGATAATGGGTCAGACAAGCATTGCTGATTCAGTGGTCTGGGGGCTGTTTGAGTACCCCTTAAATAGCATGTGGGGTGGTAACATACAGTTCTTGCCCCATGGCCAGCTTGTCTGCATCCTTGACCATAGTGGCCACCACAGCAATAATTTTTAAGCATGGGGGCCATCCAGTGGCCACCTTGTCCAGCTTTATGGAGAGATAGGTTATGGGTCTCTTCCAGGGACCTATGTACTGGACAAGGACCCCTTTTGCCACCCCGTCTTTCTCATCCACATACAGGTAGAAGGGCTTGGTTAGGTCGGGCAACCCGAGAGCTGGGGCAGACACCAAGGCCTGTTTAATGTCATTAAAGACTTTATTCATGGCCTCCGTCCATTCAAAATTTTGCTGGTGCCTGGCGGCCTCGTAGAGGGTCTGGCCATATCAGCAAAACTCGGAATCCATAATCAACAGAACCCTGCTGACCCCAGAAATTCATGTACCTGGCAGACGGTTTGTGGCTGTGGGATCCTTAGGACAGTTTCCTTCCGTGCATCCATCAACCATCTTTGTCCATCCTTTAATTTGTACCCTAGGTAACCTCTGCTCTCTGGGCTTTTTTAGCTGAGGCCCAGTATCCTAGAGCCACTATTGTCTGGAGCAAATCCTTGGTGCCTCGCAGGCATGTGTCCTGGTCCTCTGCCACCAACAGGATAATATCTACATATTGCAATAAGGTCAAATGAGGGTGCTCGGAACGGAACTCACCCAAGTCTTCATGTAAGGCCTCATTGAAGATGGTTGGCTAATTTTTGAATCCTGGTAGTCGAATCCAGGTGAGCTGGCCATTGATGCCTTTCTCGGGGTCTGTCCATTCAAAGGCAAAAAGGTCTTGGCTCTTGGGTGCTAAAGGCAGGCTGAAAAAGGCGTCTTTTAAATCTAATACCATATACCAAGTTTTGTCTGGAGGCAAGGTGGAGGAGGGTGTATGGGTTTGGGACCGTAGGGTGCATATCCTCTACTCACTGGTTGACTTCCCTTAAGTCCTGGACTGGCCTATAATCGTTAGAGTGCAGTTTCTGCACTGGCAGCAAGGGAGTGTTCCATGCCGATTGGCAAGGCCTCAATATGCCCAAGTCCAGTAGTCGCTGTATGTGGGGTGTGATTCCCATTCACACTACGAGAGGCATGGGGTATTGGCGGACCCTGACAGGGTCTGCCCCTGGCTTTAGTTCTATGTATATGGCCAGTCGGTGCTGGGCCAGCCCAATTCCCCCAGTTTCTGCCCATGCTTGGGGATATTCCTGCAGCCAACAGTCAATGTCAGTCATTGGGGCTGAGAGCGTTTGGTGGAGATGATATTCGTCTTCTAAACTCAGGACAAGCACCTGAATCGGGTTTCCCCTCCTTGTTTAGGACTTTTGCCCCTTCAGGGTGGAAGCGAATTTGTGCCCCCATCTTGGTGAGCAAGTCCCGACCTAACAACAGGTAGGGACATTCAGGGATGACCATGAAGGAGTGGGATATATCCAGCCCATGCCAAGATCCACAGTTCTTCGGGTAGTCCATGGTACTGTTTGGTGCCTGTGGCCCCTTGCACCCATGAAGTCTTGCTTGCCAATTGCCCTTGGGGTTGTAATAAAACCGAGTGTTGTGCCCCAGTGTCCACTAGGAATTCAACAGGTTGCCCCTCCACTCTGAGAGTTACCCTGGGCTCGGGGAGGGGTGCCGAACCCCGACTTCCCTAGTCATCCAGGCCCTCCATCTCCAAGATCTTGGCAGGGGCCTTAGGTATTTTGTTAGGGCAGTCTTTGACCCAGGGGCCCTCTTCTTTGCAATAAGCACATTGGTTTTTGTTCAGTTTAGGGCGCTCCCGATGGGGACCAGGGCCATCCTCCTTACCTGTCCCTGAAACCAGCTTCTTAAGGTGCCTCCGTTGTTCCTGTGGTTCATCCATGGTTGTGGCCAGCAGGATCTTGGCCAGGTTTTGGGTCTGCCGGTCGCTTAGTTTAGTTTGTTGCTCTTCCGGACTTTCTCCATTATTATAAACTCTTTCTGCTACTATTATTAAGTCCTGCAAGCTCTTCTCTCCCAGTCTCTCTACTCTTTGCAATTTCTTTTTAATGTCTGGAGTGGCCTGGTTAACAAAAGCCATGATAATTGCAGCCTTTGTTTCTGGGTCTTCTGGGTTCATAGGGGTGTCCTGCCTAAAAGCCTCTATGATTCTAAGAAGGCTGCTGGACTCTCATCCTTACCTTGTCTTACATCATATACCTCGGCCAGATTGGTAGGCTTGCACATGGCAACCTTGAGACCTGCCATTAGAGTCTGGCAGTAGACCCAGAGTCTCTCCTTACCTTCAGCCGAGTTGTAGTCCCAGGTAGGGTGGGATAAGAGGAAGGCAGCATTTATGAGGTCTGGATTTTGAGTCAGCTGTCTGTCCTCTCCCAGGACAGACTTCCAGTCTTCCACCTGAATTCATTCTGTCTCTTTGGTGGTGAAGAGAACCTGCAAGAGCTGTTGGCAGTCATCCCAAGTAGGCTGGTGGGTAAAGAGAACAGTATCTAAAAGCCCGATTAGATCTTTCAGGTTATCAGATAATTTTGCATTTTGGGTTCTCCAATTATATAAATCACTGGTGGAGAACGGCCAATATAACATTGATTGTTCTCCAGTCTCGTTGGGAGGCCCCATGGCGCAGAGGGGAAGGGCGGTGGAGTTGGCCGGCCCCACATTTGGAGGTGGGGCCACCCGGTGGGTCCGTCCGCGTGTCCCTATTGCTGGCCCGCGCACAGGGACTCCCTCGTCAGGGAGGGGTGGTGCCCCTTCTGCAGCCCTCGGTGCCTCCAATGGAGGGGCAGAAGGGTGAGGGGGCATCAGGTAGGGCAGTGGGAGAATCAGGTCCTCTGGAGAAGAATCCTGCAAGACCGGATAAAGGAGCCTTTTGGTCTTAGATTCAGTCTCCTTCTCGGCCTTTCGCAGGGCTAGAATCTTGGAAGGTCCTGCTTTGGGGGGTAAAAATGATTTTAGCCAAGGAGGGGGATTCTCAATCATGTCCTGCCAGACCAGGATGTAGGGCACCTGGTCAGGGTGGCCGACCGGTTTATCCCTGAAGATCAGGGCCTTAACCTGTAAGATAATAGGTAGGTGGAAAGTTCCTTCTCGGGGCCATCCCACGTCAAAGGTTGGCCGTTCTGACATGCAGTTAAGTTTGAAATTTCCCTCTCCGTATGTCTGTGCTCAGATTATGAGCTCTTTCCCTAGCGTCCGAGAAGTGGGAGAGCATAAGAGACAGGGGGGTGGTTTGTGTCTGCCCCGTTATGTCCCCCGTCCACACCAAGGCACAGACAATTATGATGATTAGCAAGAACACAGTAACACAGACAAATGTTCCAGCGCGTTCCAGTGCGGCCGCAGAGACAAGTAAACCTAAGGGCTGGCTGTCCATAAGGGCGGGCAGTCGGCCCTCCTCACAGATGAGGATTTCGTCCTGGCGGGGGCAAGGGACGTCTCCTCAAGAGCCCTGGTTGATGGCCCGCCAGCACATCTGCCTAAGCCAATGTCGACCTAATACAGATTGGAATTCCTACAGGTAAAAGTACAGTTTAGAGCTCTCAGAGAATATGTGCGCAAAAGGTAGAAAAAGTTGAGTGCACTCACGAGGCGCAGGACCCTCTGGGTGGGGCTGTGGAGGCCGAGAAAATTAAGGCCATTCCACCTCAAGTTTAGCGTTGGCACAAGTACAGCCATCTTAGCTTCGGCAGCCATCTCAGGCCCCTTTGAACAAGAGCTGAACTTCACCCGACTTCAGTTACAGGAAAAACCTCAGAACACCCTTGACAGAAAGTCCCATATAGGAATGAAGACAGAGCTTAAGAAACTCCCCCACTCTTTCCCCCATATCAGAATGAAGAAATTCCTCCACCCCTTCTGGAAATCTCCTAGACCAGCCCATAAAAACCCAGCTGGAACCCACCTGGGGGTCCAAGTGCCTGCTCTGCAGTGTCGGGTACACTTGGACCCAAGGTCGAGCTTGCTAATAAACCCTCATGTGCTTGCATCGGTGCTGGCTCCTTGGTGGTTTCTCAGATTCGCAATCTCGGGCACAACAGGGTCCTCTCGGATCCTGGACGGGTCCCCAGTCAGGGCCTTTTGTTTTTGGGACAGAAGGAGGTGGCGCCTGCACCAGGACTTGAGCAGTAGAACATTGGGAACAGAGGGAGGGGTGAGAGCGGAGGGTCCAAGAAGCCTGAATGTAAGGAACCTCAGGCCATTCACCCTGGCGTTGACAGAGGTTGTTCAGATCCATAAGGATCTGGTTAAGACGGCATTTTCTGAGATCCTGTGAGAACCCCAGAGTTTCAAAATTGACCAGTAGACAACCCAAGGGAGCTTTGGGGTCAAATTTGGATTGGGCAGTTCCCATGATTCCCACCAGGTAACCCAGAGACTAAAAACAGGCGTCCCCATTTGCAGCTCAAGGTTATGGACAGAAACAAAGGTCACTGTGAGGATGAGGACCTCTCCTGATCCCCAGGGACCAACGGAAAGCCACACGGCGCTCGGCGGGGGTGCCCTGGCGCGGCTGCGGGCTTCGGGCAGGACCACCTGGTCCGGGGTGTGGAATCGGGGGAACTTACCAGCGTCTCAAGGCGTTGGGTTCAGTTAAGGTCCTGGTGATGAGAGGAGAGGGGCTTCCCACCAGAGTGGGGCCTCGATCTCCTCCCGGGTTTCGGCACCAAATGTCAGGGTTAATCCGGTTGGCAGTGAAGTGAAATAGAGAGGCCAGGCAAAGGTGGGTGGAGGCAAGCTTTTAATGGAAGCGCTTTCAGACGAGGTTCCGGCCCTGCAAGGGAGTGAGGCTGGGGAAGTCGGGGACCGGGGAATCCCACCCAAAGGGCGTACAGGTGAGCATTTTAAGGGGGGGAGGGGTGAGGAGTTGTGTCTGTCTGAGGTGATAGGTATTAGGGCATATTACGGGTGGAATCGGTATGGGGCAATAACTGCTTATGCCCTTATATGGGGTTTGGATAAGGTGCGGTTCAGGTTTCCTGCATAGGTCCTGTGTCCCCATGGCGACGTGTCCTTGGGCGGTCTGCTGGTGCTACCTTCTGAGGTGAGGGTAACTAGATGGGGGATCCGATCCCCCTTGATCCTGCCGGCCCAACAATTAGTACTTTCTGTGGGTATTAATGAAATAATACATGTAAAACTTTTATACCAGTGCCTGACACATAGGAAGTGCTCAATAAATGTTACCTCTTACTAGCTGGCAATGTGATCTTGGGCCACTGTCTTTTTCTATTTTCTTTTTTTTTTAATTTTATTTATTTATTCGAGAGAGAGAGAGAGAGAGAGAGAGAGAGAGAGAGAGAAAGGCAGAGGCACAGGCAGAGGGAGAAACAGGCTCCATGCAGGGAGCCTGACGTAGGACTCAATCGTGGACTCCAGGATCAGGCCCTGGGCCGAATGCGGTGCTAAACCGCCTAGCCACCCGGGCTGCCCTGTTTCTATTTTTAAAATGAGAAGTTTGAACAGGGTTGTTTTGTTTCCAAGTTTTAAAAGGTGATTGTAGTCCCTGGATATTTAATTATATACTGTCTTACGTTGTTCTCTAATGTTCCTTGCATTATTGTTAATTGCTGTTGGTAGGGGACAACACAGGTTTTATACTTTTAACCTTTGGTAGCCATTGCTCTAGAATCATGTACATCTGTAGTGGCTCTCCCCTTGTGTTCCCCCTACCTCTGCCAAATATATATGCTGGATATCTATATGCATACATATATAAATACACATATGGATAGCCTCTCAGTTTTTCTGCGATAGGTAGGATTGAGCAAATTTATGCACCCTCTCTTTCTTATATCTTATTGTCTCTCCTTAACCATCACCACAGATTCTAATTTTACATACATTCCCCACTGATTTGTAAACTCAAAGGAGGTAACCATGTCCATCTGCTTCAGAGGTACATCTCAGCATATAGCAGTGCTTGGTCCCCAATAAGCACATATTTTTCATTAAAAAGGTATTTTTAATATTGAATATTAGTATTGTGACCTGGCTAAACCTAAATATTTTTGCTATCTACAATTGTCAAGATCATATGTTAAATCTTCCCAATTTCTTTTACCTTATGAGGTATAATAACGAATTCATTAAATTTTTTTAAATAAATGATTTGGATGGGAAAAATTTTTGTCCTCATAAAATTTAAGATTCGATCTCTGTAGAAATGGTTTATCCTGACTTCGTTTTAGGTACTGTACCAACAACGTGTGTGTTTGCCTTATACATAGCCTAAGGGTTTCTAGTTTCCAAGTAAAGTTGGCTTTTGCTGAGCAAATGACGAAATCCTTATTTAGTTGAGTAATGGCTCCAGCATGCAATTAGTTCCTCCTTATCTTTTAATCTGATAAAAATGAGCTTGTAGGGATGCCTTTAATGAACCAACAAAAAAAAAAGTTACCATCTGGAGACCTCAACATCCGAGTTTCTGATCTTCTGTAGCCTCTTTTATTATTAACTAAAGTCTGATCCCCCACCTTCCGGTTACCTTTAACTTAAAGTAACATAGTAGTTTGTCTTAATATAGCCTCTAGTGTTTTCATCAGTTTTTAAAAATGTTTTTACATTAACTAATAAAAAGTGATTGTTTGAAACTCACTTTCCTATGATTTAGTGAGCTGATGCAAATAGATTGGCCAAGCATGATTAGCATTTCCACTTTAGCTGGGATGCTATTTAACACAGGACATTGGAATCCGACTTTTCCTGTTGCCCCAGCGGGGGGAGGGGGGGGAGCTCTTTAACTAGTACTCACCTGGTGAGGCCTAGGGTTTTATAATACAGGCTTGGCCAATCAACTCCTTGGGAGACAGCTAGAGCTTGAAAATGGAGACCTGGGTCCCCATCTGTTTGGAGACTGAGCAAAATATTCTCATTTCTTCAGTCACAAAATGCATACTTGCAGGCCTGCTATGAAGATTGAGTTTTAGAAAAGTAGTGAAGTGCAAGTACTCTATGTCAGAATTAGATAGACCTGGCTTCAAATTCTGATTTTTTAAATTAACTTAAATTGTTCAATGTCTTACAACACTTATTTAAATTGTGCATGATAGCATCTTCCTGATATCTCTTTTTGGGAGGATTAAATGGAGATAAAGTATGTATACTTGTCCACAGGCCTTGCATTACGGGAAGCACCCCGTAAATAGTCTGTACTCAAGATAACCCATGTTAGTGGTTTTAATTTAGTTAGCATCAAGTATTTAAAACGCCTTCCACCTGACAAATTGTTTTAAGGGAGAGCGACCACCTGCTGTGTCTCTTTTAATGTGCTGATAAACTTCCAGACTTTTTATACTTCAATACAGGAAAATTGAAAACACCAAAGGGGGGGGAAAAAGCCTAGAAGTCAGCAATCCCCCCCCCCCTTTAAGTTCCCCAGATCCAAATCCTGTTAATACTGGGCGGTTGAAGTCACATCAAAGGATCCCAGGTATTGACTGCTGGCTGGAGGCAAGCCACAGGTTCCAACTCTTTAAGATAAAAGCGGGGCGGGGTGGGTTGCAAGATCTGGTGGGAAAGGCCCAACCTCTGGGCCCAGAGGCTTTCAGGTGGTTGTTTCAGCAGTCCTTTGTCTTACCTCCTCTCCAGGCCCCCATACACACGCAAATATTTCACAAGGCTGGGTTTCCTCCCGCATCCGCTGCTTGAATGCTCTTTTGGTGGAGGAAGCCCGTGCGTGCGCACAGAGGGGTTATCTTGCTACGAGAGGCGACGCCTGCGCCCGCGGGAGCCATCCAGGCTTGCCTCCCTCCCCGCAGCGCCGGCCGGAGCGGCCCGGGAGCTCGCGGCGGGCCTTCAGCTCCGGCCACCCCCAGAGCCCGCCGCGGCGTCGAGGTATTGGCAGGGCGTTGCCGTCACCCCTTTTGGCGGGCTCGGGCGCCCCGAGGCTCCGCCCCCCTGCGCCGTCTATCCGCGCCCGCGGAAGCGGGCGCCGCGCCCCCATTGGCGGAGCGGCCCGCGGAGGCCCCGCCCCCTCCCGGCCCCGACGCGAGCACGTTGAGTGGCGGGGGCCGGCAGAAGAACTGCCCGAGCGAGGAGCGGCTCCCGGGGCCGGGTAGCACGGTTGGGGCGCCAGCTTTGGGACCCCCCCCCAGAGACTGCTGGGTCGGGACCGCGGCCCGCGGTCACGGGGGGAAGGGGGTGGGTGGGCTGAGAGCAGCTCGGCGGCGAGGCCGGCCCGCCGCCCCTTCCCCCCCACCCCCGTCGACCTTGCCGGCAGAAGCTTCCCGGAGCTCCTCACGCCGGCGCGATGGCGACTGCTGGAGAGACGGAGGCCTCTCCGCCGACGGACGCGAGCTGGGAAAGTGGCGGCGGCGGGGACGACGAGATGAAGCTGGCGCTTCCGGAGCTTGAGTCCTCCCCACAAAATGGCGGCGGCGGCGGCGGCGGCCTCAGCATCGCGGA